GACCTCCTGGGTCAGCTCTGACCCCTCCTCTCCCTCCTCCGCGCCTCTGCAGCAATCCAGTGAACGTAGGCCATGAGCGTCTCGGCCTCGGAACACCGTCAGTCGGACCGGGGGCGCGTCTCCCTGCCCATCCAGAAGGATGGCCGTGGCTTCCCTTCGCCCGGCCGGAGACGCCCGCCCTGGCCTCAGACCCCGGACGAGGATCCCAGTTTGCCCCCCTTTCCTCTGGAAGAGCCCGGTCCCAGGTCCGTGGCCCCAGGGGACCTCCCCTCTCCCGCCTGGTCCCTAGAGGAGGAGGACGATGACGAGGAAGACGCGGCGGAGCCCGAGGGGCTGCGCAGCGAGGAGCATCCGAGCCAATTTTTCGCGGAGGCACAGCGGCTGCGGGAGCAGAGGTTGTTGCTGGATGAAGAGGTGTCAGTGGCGGGGCAAGTCTACGGGGTGCATCGGGTGATCTTGGCCGCAGTTAGCAGCCTTTTTCGAGCCAGGCTGCTGGACGGCATTGGTCCGCGACCCCCCGTCAGCCTCGACGTGGCCCCCAAGGCCTGGGAGACCGTGCTGACTTTTGCCTACGAGGGAGTGCTCAATCCCGTCCCGCTGAGGCAGGTGCTGGCGGCAGCCAAGGCCCTGGGAGCACCCCGAGTGGAGGCCGCGGCCCAGCGGCAGCTCAAGAAGGCTGGACGCGCCCAGGACGAAGAAAAGCAGCCCAGCCAGGCGGAGGAGCTGAGGGAGAACCTGCGCAGCATTGAGCTCTTCTACCAAGAGGGCGTCGGGTGTGACTTGGAGCTGGAAGCAGGCGGCTGCAGGCTGAGGGGTGAGGGCCTGTGGGGCATTCCTTACTGTAGGTGCAAATGCTACCGGAATGGTGTGTGCAAGCAGCAGGTGGTTTGATCCCTACCATAGTGGTTTGGATCTCTGCTGCAGTCAGAATTCCCCTGGGGGGTCTTTGGTGCCTCTCTGGAGCCACTGGAGAGTGGAGCATGCGCACTTGAATTGTTTCCTAAGAGCACTGACAAATTTAAACTGACTCTCCACGTGGTGGCTTCCTGGGCCCAGTAGCAAGGAATGAACAGCCAGCTGGCTGGAGCTAAGGTGCAGCCATTGCCAGTAGAACAAGCAGAAAGCCATTGCCTCTAATAGGAATTAACCAAAGGCCCTTCTTGTATTTAGAACACAGGAAAAGCCAGAGGCACATGGTGTGTCCTTTCACCTAAGTGTGTAGGACTGTATCAGACAACATGGCTGATGTGGTCCTACAGCTAATGAGCAAGGTCTGGTACTGTTTTGCCAGAATCTTAAGGTTCTCAGACCATGGCACTTTGAAGTTAATTCTGCTCATCACCAGGAAAGCTAAGGAGGGGTGAATAAGTGGAGTTCAGATTCTATTCACATTTAGTGAGGCACTGAGTACCATGAATTGTTACATTTGCTATCTCTTTTAATTTTCATTTGAAAACTAGCGAGGTAGGTACCATTATTCCTAGGTGCAGCTAAGGAACATTAAACTAAGACATGTTAACTGGTGAGAACCAGGATACAAGCCTACATCCACTAGCCCAGTCTACTCTCATTAGGCCATGCAGTGCCTCCTATGCAGCCAAACCAAAGACACTGGAGTTGGAATGCAGATGCATACATGTTTAAAATGAAAAGGGATTAGTTCAGAGATTATCTAGTTCAGCTCTTATTCTTTATTGATAAAGAAATCAGACTTGAAGACGTGTCCAAAGTCACATAGCTACTGCTCATCAGAGGAATGACTGAGACCCAAAGTGCTTCTGGGATTCCCAGAAGGAAAAGCATTCTGTCTTGGTCAATTTGGGCTGCTGTAACAAAAATAACAACAACAACAACAAAATACCAGAGACTGGGTGGTTTAACAACATACATTTATTTCTCACAGTTCTGGAGGCTGGAAGTCCAAGATCAAGGTTCTAGCATGGTCAGGTTCTGGTTAGGGCCCTTTTCCTGGTTTGCAGAAAGCCACCTTCTCACTGTATTTCACATGGTAGAGAGGCACTCTTATCCCTAATCACCTCCCAAAGGCCCCACCTACGAATATCATCATATTAGGGATTAGGGCTTCCACATACGAACTTTGGAGGGACACAAACATTCCGTCTTTAACAGATTTCTAATGTGTTTGTTATCATTTCTGATAACATAAGGTGAAATACATGGGGGGGGGGCGGATTTAAAATGTCATAGTTACAAAATTCCCACTAGGGTTTGGAATTTACACACTGTTTTCATTTCTCTAAGAGACATTCCAGCTTAATGGTGGGAGCCTGACGCTTAAAATTCTAGAGACTATTGATGAGTAAGAAGAATACAAGTGGTTTTGAGCTCTTTCACAGTGGACGCTGAGCTATAGGTTGACTGGTGACATGCAAGATTAGATGGTTTACCTGCCTCAAGGAAGGCAGGTTTTCTCAGGCAATACTATATTTGAAAGCTGCCACTGATGGTTACCACGTAGGAAGCACCAAGCCACTACCTACTGACTGCTTAAAAAGACAATGGAAAGCCATAGCAACATCACCCCAACTTTGAGAGAGATGAACATGGCAAAGCTGGGCAAAGCAGCCTAGGATTCATAAACTTCACTGGGAGCTTGGCCCTGTGCCACCTGCCATAGAGGACTTCAAGGAGCATCCCCATCCCCCCCATTTTTAAAAAAAAAAAAAATGAAGCATTTCAAACACATAGCAAAGTAAGGAGAATATTAGGATGAACATCCACCCCAGCCGGTTTGGATCAGTGGATAGAGCATTGGCCCATGGAGTTAAGGGTCCCAGGTTCAATTCCCATCAAGGGCATGTGGTATCTCTCACATCAATGTATCACATGGACGTTTCTCTATCTCTGTCTCTCACCCTTCCTTCCACTCTCTAAAACTCAATGGAAAAATATCCCTGGGTAAGGATTAACAACAAACAAAAAAAAAGATGAACACCCAAACACCCATCGCCCACACTTAACAATTAATATTTTAATTTACTTGTAAAGCTGTGACATTTTACTCATAAATACTTGGGTATGTTTTTCTTTAAAAAAGAACATTTTCTCATATAACCACAATATCTTTTTAAAAAAATACATCTTTAGAGGAAGGGAGAGAGAGAGAGAGAAAGAGAGAGAGAAACATCAATGATGAAAGAGAATCATTGATCGGCTGCCTCCAGCACATCCCCCATTGGGGATCAAGCCCGCATGTGCCCAGGCATGTGCCCTTGGCCAGAATTGAACCCGGGACCCCTCAGTCTTCAGGCCAACGCCCTATCCACTGAGCCAAACCAGCTAGGGCTAACCACAATACCTTTATCAAATCTAACAAAATTAACAACAATTCCTTAATATCACCTAATTCACACTGAAATTTTCCTACTTGTCCAAAAAATGTCTTTTAGTACTGGTTTGCTCAACCCAGGAGCCAATCAAGGACTGTGCTATATACTCAGATGTATGTCTCTTAAGGTTCCTTTCTTCTTGCATAGTCCTTCTTCTCTTTTTATGACTTGACTTATTAAAAAAATAAGATTAGTTATCCTATAGAATGTTCCATTTTCTAGGTTTGTATGTGTTTTCCCTCATGTTTTTAAAATTTTTTAATATATTTTTATTGATGAGAGAGAGAGAGAGAGAGAAACATCAATCAGCTGCCTCCTGAACGTGCCCAACCAGAGATTGAACCTGCAACCTGGGCATGTGCCTGTCCGGGAATCAAACCAGAGACCTTTTGCTCTACAAGACAATGCTCAACCAACTGAGCCACAACCACCAGGACCCTCATGGTTTTAATTTTTTCCCTTAGCCTCTCAAATTCTTATAAATTTGAATGTAGAACTAAAGTCTTGATTAGATTCAGGTTCAATATATCAGTCAGAATACTCCATAGGTAATGCCAAGAACTTCAAGTTGAGTTATGTTAGGAAGCATATGAGATCTAGTTGTTTAACAGCATCTGTTAACAGGACAGTTTCGGTGTTATGAGGGCCATGCAGATAAGCAGGGTACTGATACACAAGTATGCTCACAGCAGCCTGGCATCAGTGACAGTGGATGATGAAGATCTGCCCAGAAAGCCACTGCATGGCAATAGAAAATAAATCACTTCTTTTTGCTCATTTTCTTACCTTAAAGGGAGCAATTTAACTAGATGATTTTGAAGGTTTCCAGTTTAAAATTTTATGATTCCATAAATAATACCGAGATGCTTAGGGGATATGTGCAGAGGAAAGCTAGAACACATGGGAAATCTTAAGCACTAAATCTTGGGCAAGAGGAGATGGCAGTCTGAGTAGGCTGGCTCGTAGCCATTCCTGAGTGTCATACCACTTTCTGAGTAAAACCTGACTAACAGAATGGCTGATGTCAGTGGCTCTTACAATTGTCAAGGAAAGAATTTTATTCTGTACACAATATAGAGACCTATACAAGTTGCACATTGGTCTTTGAGTTTATTTTGTGCCCGCTGTAAGCAAATGCTGTCTAAAGCATCTTCTCGACTTGATCTATCAAGACTTTTTCTAATTGACCTGGATCTAAAAGACTAAAGCAACGTTTACCAAAGTGTCTTCAGGCCACTAACATGAGAGTCATGCAGGGTGCTTGAAAATGTTAAGATACAAAATTCTAGGAACTCCATTCAGACCTTCTGAATCAGCATCTCTAGAGGTAGGGTCCTGAAATCTGCATTTTAACAAGCACCCCGTGGTATTCTGATACACATCACAGTTTGGCCGTTGGCCTTGGTGGTTGGTTTCGAAGTTGAGGCTGTGAAGTTGGGATAGTACCTAGCAGTTTGCAAAACTGGATCCCCATCTACTTCTTCTCCCTCTTGCAGTGCACCGAGCAGCCCTGGCCTGTGGCAGCGAGTTCTTTGGGGCCATGCTCCTGAGTGGGATGAGGGAATCCCAGGGCACACAGGTGTCTCTCCACACCATGTCTGCCCAGGACCTGCGACTCCTCGTCTCTTTTGCCTACTCTGGGGTTGTGCGGGCAAGATGGCCAGGACTGCTGAGAGCTGCCCAGGCTGCCCTGCAGTACCAGAGCTCTTCCTGCCTAGCTCTGTGTGAGACAGCCTTGGCACGGGGCCTCAGCCCTGCCCGTTGCCTGGCCCTCTTCCCCATGGCTGAAGTCCCCGGATTGGAGAGGCTCTGGAGCAAAGCCCGTAATTACCTCCTCACCCACCTGCCCGCTGTGACCTTGTGCCCCACTTTCCCTTCTTTACCGGCTGCCTGCCTGGCTCAACTCCTGGAAAATGATGAACTACACTTGCAGGAGGAGTTTGAGGCCTTTGCGGCTGCACGATGTTGGCTCGCAGCCAACCCTGAGACCCAGGAGTCAGAGGCCAAGGCCCTGCTTCGATGTGTCCGCTTTGGCCGGATGTCCACCAAGGAGCTTCGGAGAGTACGGGCAGCTGGGCTGCCTCCACCCCTGCCCCCAGACTTGCTGTATCAACTGATAGTGGAGTCGGAGATTCCAGGTCAAGAGAGGCGGAGGGAACCTGACCAGGCTTTGGTAGTGATTGGTGGAGACGGGCTTAGATCAGACATGGCCATAAAAGAGCCATCCCGAGGAGTGTGGTGGGCCCGGGCCTTCCGCTGCGGCATGGGGCTGGTCCGAACTGTGGAGTGGGGCCGGCTGCCTGCCCTGCCTGCCCCAGGACGCTTCCGGCATGGGGCCGTGAGCCTGGGAGGAAGTGAAATCTACGTGTGTGGGGGACAGGATTACTACAGCCACGCCAACACCTTGGCTTCTACTCTCAGGTATGCACCCCTCAAGAATGTCAGACCCGAAGGTGGGCAGCTGAGGGAAATTGTTGGCCCAGCCAACCACAGACTCCCACACTCACTCTTCCTGTCTCTTGTCACACTGTGTCCAGGTGGGACCCCAGTCAAGAGGACTGGAAGGAGATGGCACCTTTGTGCCAGGCTCGGAGTTTTTTCCCTCTGGTGGCACTGGATGGACTACTTTATGCCCTGGGTGGACGAGCCAATGGTGTTGCCCTAAACTCTGTGGAGACCTATGACCCCGAGCTCAACGTCTGGAGGTGAGCAGGGAAAGGGGGGTGGGGGTGGGGGCGAGTTTCTAGGCATCAGGGAGAGACGAGGAGACTTGGAGGAGGAGAGTCAAGGATGATTGTTGCCTGATCATGTGCTCTGTTCTCCCTTAGGCCAGCACCTGCACTTCCAGCACCACGCTTTGCCCATGCAGCTGCTATTTTGGAGGGCCGATTGTACATAAGTGGTGGCTGCAACGGGAATAGCCAATGCCTGGCCTCATTACTGCACTATGACCCCAAACTTGAGAAACCAGGGACACTTCTGAGCCCTATGAGGGTAGCTCGAGCTGGCCATGTCATGGCTGCTCTGGGTGGGCGGTTGTATGTAGCAGGTGGGTTAGATGAGACTGGGGACCTGCTGAGCTTTGAAGCTTATGACCCAAAGACTGATAGCTGGACTCACCTGGTACCTCTGCCCTCCCCCCACGTGGGAGCTGCAGGGGCTGTGCTGCAGGGAGAGTTCCTGGTGCTGGGGGGCTACAGCCACCTTACGTATGCCCTCTCCCACCTTATCCATGCGTACTCTCCGGGCCTGGGCCGGTGGCTCTGCCTGGGAACTCTGCCAAGGCCGCGGGCTGAGATGCCTGCCTGCATCCTGACTCGGCCCACTGTGCAGCACATAGGTGTAGGTCCCACAGGGCACCAAACCAAACCTGCCGGGTGAGTGTGGAGCAGCAGCAGTGGATGGGGGAGGAAGGGATAAGATATATCATGAGGGAAGGTCCGAGATGAAGGGAAGACAAAGAGGAGTCTTTTTTTCAGGATAGTATTTTATTCTAGTACAGTGCTTTACAACTCATAAACTGCTTTTGAATATATGATCTTCATAGAAGAAAAGGTGGCTCCAGAATTGCCAGGGAAAGGGCGTTGAGGAAGGAGAACAGCTGAATGCCTAGGTAAGGAGAGGAGACCCAGAAGCAACTATACAAGGTTTGGGGATCCTGGTAGTATATCTAGTGGGAAAAGCACAACTAGCTGGAAGACAGTCAAGAAGCTCCAGTAGCCACGGTATAGGGGCTATGAGAGGACAACTGGGAAAATGATGATCTTGATCCATGGAACAAGGAGAAAATCATTTAAAGGCCATCTATGAATGAGTTTGAGGAGTCGGGGGGCATGGGGCAGGGAGGACTGTAATTGTTGAGTCCTTCCCCTTTCCAGTTTTTGCTCCTCTCTACTCTCCAATCCCTGGGTCGCCTGAACCCTTTGACAATATTGTTTCTCAGGTGACTTGTAGGCCCAATCTAAAGTCTCCTCAGTCCAGACACCACAGGCTGCCCCTCGAGCCTCTTGGTATTTAATCTGAGGCAGAAGTTCCCATCTGGACCTGGCACAGCACAGTGGTGAGATGCCAGGGCACTAAGGTGGGAGTGCTGCATGTGGGGAAGATGAGGAGGAAAGAGACAAAGTGGGGAAGTGCCACGGTGGAAAGGGGTTTGAGGGGAGTGGGGGTAGAAGAAGTCAGCAGCTTAACTGGCTTCTTTCCTTCCCTTTGGGGTCAATTGAGGGATTAGGAGTGAAAGGAGGACAGTGTGGTATGAGGTTGTGGGAGGAAGTGGCAGGGAGAAGAGTGAGAGGCAGAGAGAACATGGAAAATTGGTTTTCCTCTGTTCTGTGCCTTTCCTCCAGACTTTTTTGAATCCATTTCCCTTTTTCTTGGCAGGGAATATTGAGTCAGATGCTTTCTCTCTCACTTTCTCCAACCTACTCTTCCTTCCTTTTTCTTCTTCTTCCTTTCTCTCCTCCTTTCTCCCTCACAGTTGTTTATTCCTTACTATATGTCAGGAACTATATGAGACACTAAGGACACAGAGGTCAGAGAGGTCCTGACCAGCAGACAGACTTGTAAACAAATACTAGTTTTTCAGTGGACTTAGAAGTGTGAACACTTCCCTCACATCTCTCATACACACTTAGCCTCCATCCCCTGAGGATGGAAGAGTGAACTGTGCCCAGGGAAGGCTTCTGTTACAGAAGGCAGCATCATCAGATGGGTGTGGTTTGAACTGGATCTTGAAGGCTGCCTGGTTCACCAGTCGGAAAAGGAGAAAGACATTCCTGATAGAGAAAGGAAGCAAGTGGGGAATGTAGTGCTCTGTGTCTCCATAGCAAAGGGGAAGTTAGAATTCCAGCGATTCTTCAGAGAATTCTGCTGCTGTGGCCAACGGTCTTTCTTCTCTGGAGCCTTTCTGAAGACAATTGCTTTCACTTAATGATTGTATATTCCCTCCCTTCACAACCCCCCCCTAAATCTTTTCTGTAAGATATTTCCATTTCTCTGAATGGAAATATCATACAGCTTAGGACAAAGGGCAGCTTTAGACAAAGGGCAAGTTCTTTGCATAGATCAATCTTCTGCTGCCATTGTTCATTAAGAATCTCATACTCCTGCCTTAACCGGTTTGGCTCAGTGGATAGAGCATCAGCCTGCAGACTGAAGGGTCCCAGGTTCGATTCTGGTCAAGGGCCTGTACCTTGGTTACAGGCACATCCCCAGTAGGGGGTGTGCAGGAGGCAGCTGGTTGATGTTTCTCTCTCATCGATGTTTCAAACTCTCTATCCTCTCCCTTCCTCTCTGTAAAAAATCACTTGCTGCGCTCTCTTCTCTTCCAAGATTGTTCCAGTTCTCCCGGGTCTGGAACCCCAGCCACCCTTTGCCTCATGGGCTGCTAGAGAGAAATGATTCCTATGTCATTCATTCAAAACATTTGAGCACTTGTCTGTGCCAGGTAGGGTTTTGGAAGCTTAGAAACAGCCATGAATAAGAGTCTGCTCTCATGGGCTTGTAGTCTGGCTGATAGGTAGAGGGAACATTTAAATTAATGATCCTGCCTTAACCGGTTTGGCTCAGTGGATAGAGCATCAGCCTGCAGACTGAAGGGTCCCAGGTTCGATTCTGGTCAAGGGCCTGTACCTTGGTTACAGGCACATCCCCAGTAGGGGGTGTGCAGGAGGCAGCTGGTTGATGTTTCTCTCTCATCGATGTTTCAAACTCTCTATCCTCTCCCTTCCTCTCTGTAAAAAATCAATAAAATATATTTTTTTAAAAAAGAAAAAAAGAGAATCTCATACTCCTAAGGTTGAGAAGAAGGAGCCCCATCGTACCTCTATTCATCCTAGCCTGAGGGGTACTTGAAATGTTTGTTGTTGTTGTTGTTTTAGATATTATTATTTTATTAAGGTTATTTTCTATATCTGTTTAGGAGCATAGTTGAAGATGAGGAGGGATAAGTAGGATTTTTAATAGAAAAGAGAAGAAAGATCAAAGCCCACAGGGAAGAAGGAAATCGGAAGCATTGAGAAACTATAAGAATTGAGTCTTGCCCTGGCTGGTGTGGCTCAGTTGGTTGGGCTTCATTCCATGCACCCCATGCAATGGGGTTGTTGGTTCAATTCCCTGGTCAAGGACACATGCCTGGGTGTTAGGCTTGATTCCTGGTAGGCAGCATGCAGGAGGCAGCCAATAGATATTGTGCTCTCGCATTGATGTTTCTCTCTCCCTCTCCCTTCCTTTAAAAATCAATAGACTATTCTTAAAAAAAAAAAAAAAGAATTGAGTCTTTAGGGTGAACTGTGAACATATTTTTATGATTTGTATGCAAAGATAGACTTAAATAAAGGCTTTCCCATGATTGAATCATCCTTGTCTGAGTTTCTTTATTATAAAAAGCATTTAAAATTCCCTGTAATTTGACTTCTGTCTCCAACACACTACTGAAACCATCCTTTGTCATCGTTATTATACCTACTTCTTACCAATCAAATCAGGTAAGGCCATTCTCATTCTTACTCATGTTTCTGCAGGAATTGACTGACTTGAAAACTGGCTCTTACTCTAAACATTTCTCCTCCCCTGGCTCCTGAGCCTTCTCTTATTTCTTCAATCCAAAGAGGCGACAGAAAGCCAAATCATAGTGTCCAAGAGGACATGGCTCCATCCCAGGTGAAGCTGACAGCCAAGAATCCAAAAGTATACAGATGGGAGCAGTTAGTTATAGAGGTCTCTGGCTTCATTATTTTGTTTTAAAATTGGGAATGGAGTAAGAAGAGAAGAGGAAGTCTCTGATTTGAAAAAGGACCTTGGTCAATGATCCACTCTTGAGTGAGAGGGACCAGATATAGGCAATTTGACAGTTGGGTCCCTTGCCGAGTGGACTGAGATTCAGGATAGTAATTTGGACCCAGAAGGGAAGTACAGTAAGAATCAGAAATTGGAACAGAAGCCATTCACACAGACTGGGGAATCATGGCAATCCAGGGAATAAGCTACAGTTTGGTGAGTGTTGAGAGCCTCCAGGACCACCAATCCATAGCATGGAACTTTTCAGGCCCTCACAAGAGGCAGTACTAAGAGATTATCTGATTGTAATACGTATTCTAATCCCTCCTCTATAGACCAGATAGTTTCACTTTCTCTTTATGAATTTGCCAAAAGCTAAAGTAACAATGCCAGCCCCTCATCACCTAAATGACTGCACAGGTCCAGCAGGTCTCACAGTAGCCTCCAGAGTGTGCATAAGAAAAGTAGCTCAGCTCGACCTGTGTGGCTCAGCGGTTGAGCATTGAGCCAGGAACCAAGAGGCCACTGGTTCGATTCCCGGTCAGGGCACATGCCCAGGTTGCAGCCTGATCCTCTGTGTGGGGTGTGCGGGAGGTAGCCAATTGATGTTTCTCTCATTGATGTTTCTATCTCTTTATCCCTCTCCAGTCCTCTCTCTGTAAAAAAATCAATAAAAATATATATTAAAAAAAAAAAGAAAAGAAAGGTGTCTCAGCCCTAGCTGGTTTGGCTTAGTGAATAGAGCATTGGCCTGTGGACCAAAGGGTCCGGGGTTTGATTCCAGTCAAGGGCACATACATTGGTTGCAGGCTCTGTCCCGGCCTGGGCCCTGGTCAGGGTATGTGTAGGAGGGAGTGCAATTAATTTCATAGATATGAGATTCCCGATACATTTGCCATATAAGTTGGCATCTATCTCAGCTAGCCCACCTCCCAAAATGAGCATTTCACTACGTGGAACTATTGCAGAGTACCAATGTGTTAGGAATTAGGTGATTTAAAAGGTTTAAGGAGAGCCCCTGGTGTGGCTCAGTGGTTGAGTGTTGACCTATGAGCCAGGAGGTCATGGTTCAATACCCAGTTAGGGCACATTCTCGGGTTGTGGGTTCAATCCCCAGTGGGAGGCATGCAGGAAGCAGCTGATTAATGATTCTCTCTTATCATTGATGTTTCTATTTCTCTCTCCCTCTCCCTCTTCTCTCTGAAATCAATAAAAATATATTTTTAAAAATATATAAAAGGTTTAAGGAAAATAGGATGACAACAATGTAATCTGATGTAACCTAGCGTTGAATGTTGCAGGTGTGCTATGCCAGTTATCTAATGCTGCATAGCAGACTGTCCCAAAATGTAGTGACTTCAAATAACAATCGTCTATACTAATAATAGCCTAGGTGGCATCAGTCCCTCACGTTATCACAAGATGGTTGTCAGAAGATGGCTGTCACAAGATGGCTGTGTGCACAGTGGAGGTGGGGCCTGGTGGCCACTCTGCACAATGAAGCCTAGGGGGTCCCGCAGTTCTGTGCAGCGTGGAAGAGGCCGGTCCTGACAGAGGAGGCAGGTTATGGCAGGGTAGGGCAGTTGTGGGCGATCAGGCCTGGCAGGGGAGCAGTTAGGTGTCGATCAGGCCAGCAGAGGAGTGGTTAGGGGGCAATCAGACTGACAGGCAGAAGCAGTTAGGGGCAATCAGGCAGGCAGGCAGGCGTGCTGTTAGGAGCCAATAGTCTTGGATTGTGAGAGGGATGTCTGACTGCCGGTTTAGGTCTGATCCCACAGGGATGGGGCCTAAACCGGCAGTTGGACATCCCCTGAGGGTCCCAGATTGGAGAGGGTGCAGGCCGGGCTAAGGGACAACACCCACCCCCCATGCACGAATTTCATGTACCAGACCTCTAGTCCTTTATAATAAAAGCCTAATATGCTAAGTGTCTGACTGTTTGTTCGACTGTTCGACCAGTCACTATGATGCACACTGACCACCAGGAGGTCAGATGCTCTGACCGGTAGGTTAGCTTGTTGCTGGGATCTGGCCGACGGGACTGGGGCGAGACACTCTGGACATGCCTTGGAGCCCTCCTGCTGAGGGGAGCAGTTAGGTGTCGATCAGACCAGCAGAGGAGTGGTTAGGGGGCAATCAGACTGACAGGCAGAAGCAGTTAGGGGCAATCAGGCAGGCAGGCAGGCGAGCTGTTAGGAGCCAATAGTCTTGGATTGTGAGAGGGATGTCTGACTGCCGGTTTAGGTCTGATCCCACAGGGATGGGGCCTAAACCGGCAGTTGGACATCCCCTGAGGGTCCCAGATTGGAGAGGGTGCAGGCCGGGCTAAGGGACAACACCCACCCCCCATGCACGAATTTCATGTACCAGACCTCTAGTCCTTTATAATAAAAGCCTAATATGCTAAGTGTCTGACTGTTTGTTCGACTGTTCGACCAGTCACTATGATGCACACTGACCACCAGGAGGTAGGTGCTCCGACCGGTAGGTTAGCTTGCTGCTGGGGTCTGGCTGATTGGACTGGACGAGATGGGCTGGACATGCCCTGGAGCCAACATCCCATGGTCCCTCCCTGGCATCTAAAATATTTCTTCTAATTAATTTCCTTTCAATGTGCATGAACCTGTGCACTGGGCCTCTAGTTTTACTTTATTTCTCATGATTTTATGTGTCATTGATTTCACTTACATTAGGCAGGGTTCAGCTAAGTGATTCTTTTGTTCCATGTTCATTGATGGAAATTACTTGGTTGTACTGAAGTGGTAGATGGCCTGGTCTGGAGGGCCCAAGACAGCTTTGTTCACATGTCTGGTGCCCTGATGGGGATGGCTGGAAAGCTGAGCTCAGCTGTGATTGTTAACTGAAGCACCTGTATGTGTTCTCTTCAGCATGACAATCTAAGAGTAGTTGGACCTACTTGGTAGTTCAGGACTCCCAGAGGGAGTATTCCAGAGTCCTGGGTGGAAGGTCCAAGAGGTGCCAGAATGTCACTTTTGTCACAAATATTGGTTAAGCAAGTCACTAGGTCAGTCCAAATTCAAGAAATGAGCAATCAGACCCCACTTTCCAATGGGAAAAGAAGCAAAGAACTTGTGGCCTGCTTTAATCTACCATAAAGGAAGACTAGTCAGGGAAGGATGGCTCACAGGGGAACAGAGCCCTTGAAAGAAGGTGAAGAGAGATGTTAATAAACGTCAACAGGCCAGAGACCAAATGCAGGGTTGTTTTGAGTCAGAGGAGTCAGAAGGGAGAAGGCCTTAATATTTGAAGTTCATGTAACCTGCTCACTGGCTTCTGGGGCTTTCAGTTGGCCCCGAAGGGCTCCTCTGGGATGTCAAGTACTATGGAGTAAGTGCTGGTCCATCACAGCTTGTGCAGTGCTTTGGAGCTGGCAGTGATT